TATTTGGAAAAATCTATGCTTTGAAAGCCAGCCCCATCTCCAGCCCAAATTAAACAGTAACCACCCAAGGTCAAGGAAAGGGACTGAATGGAACAGGCTTCTCTCCAAGGGGTGGCTCGGCCTTGACCAGGCAGGCCCACCCCCACCTGCCTATAAAGACCTCTGCCTGCTCCAGGGCCACACAGCCCCAACACCTCACCATGCTGGGTGTCACGGTTCTCGCTACACTCCTGGCCTGCGGTAAGCTGGGGACAGGGACCGGGTGGGCTGCACTCAGACACTGGGGAGCTCAGACTGGCCTCCTGGGGACATGGACAGGAACAGGAGACCTCCGTCCACCAGGAAAGTCACTTTGGGGTCCAGGGTGGGCCCGGCTACTGAGCAAAGGTCAGATGAGCCACCTCCTGCTCGGCCACCCTGTCTCCACCTCAGCAGGACAGGGCCAGAAGCCGCCACCCCCGGTGAGGACTGGAGATGAGGGGTGGAGGCCCAGAGAACAAGGAGGCTCCTGTCTTGCCCAGCCTCCACCGCCTCTCCCCCTGCCCACCCTGCCCTTCTCAGAGGGCAGCCAGCCCCACTCACCCGCCCTCCTCCCTCCTGTTCCTCCAGCCTCCAGCTGCGGTGTCCCCAGCTTCCCCCCCAACCTCTCAGCCAGGGTGGTGGGAGGGGACAATGCCGTTCCCCACAGCTGGCCCTGGCAGGTGAGTGTGCTGCAGAGTGGGACGCTGGATGGAAAGGGAAGTGAAGGTCCCCAGGACCTGAGGGCTGACAGGCGGCTCTTCTGCACCCTCCTGCAGATCTCTCTCCAGTACCTCAAGGATGACACTTGGAGACACACCTGCGGTGGCACCTTGATCTCCAGCAACTTTGTCCTCACGGCTGCCCACTGCATCAGGTGAGCGACATGACACCCACATCATCCCAGGGGGAGCCTCATGAAACTGCTTTCATTGAGCACCTGCTGCACACTCCAGGCTCTGGGCTCAATAAACTACTGACATCCACTGAGTTCATTTATTCAGTCAATGAACATTTCTGTGCACCTGCTGTGTGCTGAGAAACTGCAGTGAACACAGCGTCTGCTCTCAGGGAGCTGATATTCTAGTGGGAGGCAGAGCAACAGGCAGACGAGGAAATGTCTAACGGAGAAGAGGCCAGAAGATGTTAAAAACTCTGGGTTTCTAGGCGATATTGGAGCAGAGACATGAAGGAAATGGGGTGGATATCATCCATCTGGGAAGGGTACTTCACATGGAGGGAACAGCCAACATGGTGGCCAGGAGGAGGGAGCCTGCTTGGTAGCTTTGAGAAAGAACAAGCAGGAGCTTCAGTCAGGGCACAATGTGCAGAGAGAGCAGGGAGGGGAGTTGGAGAGGAAACCAGAGGCAGATCATTCAAGCTTCTGTATGAACTTGGGCTTGGACCCTGAGCAAGTTAGAGCTACTGGAAGGGCTTTGACGATGGCATCCAGAGACTCACAGCTGAGTCAGAAGAGGGCCAGGGCACAGGCTGGTGGCCAGCAAATGGCAGTCCTAGGAGGTGAGCTCGGGCTTCCCCACCTTACAGAGGAGGCACAGGTGGTCCAGCCCCCTGGATGGAATGGCAGGGCCACACCTGGAACCCCAGTCCCTGGAGGCCAAGCCTCGGGCCCTTCCCCTTGTCCTGCAGAGGAGCAGCAAGACAGATGCCCCTCCCCCAGTGAGACCCACAAGGGCCTCACACTCAGCCTCCAGAGCCCCAAGTCCCCTCGTCTGACCCCTGGCGGGCAGGGACCACTGGCCACCTTGACCTGGTTCCCCTCCCTGCCCAGCAACACCCTGACCTACCGCGTGGCCCTGGGGAAGCACAACCTGACAGTGGATGAGGAGGGCTCCCTGTTCGTGGGCGTGGACACCATCTATGTCCACGAGAAGTGGAACTCCTTCCTGGTGCGGTGAGTCCCCCTGCCCAGGGTTAGGGGCGGTG